AGTTGTAGTCTAATATCCTTAATGGTCTCTTTGCCCTTAGTTTCAGGAATCCATGCAACAAACTTTCTCTGCCTCATTGGTGCTTTATCCAGGGGGGTTGAAATGACCCATTGCTTGAAATAATTCAGTGACATGATTTGACTGGGTAGAGCTGATAGGGTAGAGCTGCAATCATTTCATTAAATTTTTATGTAGCTTTAAAATAAGTAAACAAGGCTATTGGAAAATTGTAGGCTTCATTCACTTTGAGACAGCATTTAGATTGATATTAATTTTTAACTTTAGAGTAGGCATTCGTATTTTAGAAACAGAATAGGTATATTTAATTTAAAATATTGTGATAATGTCAAACCTTTTTAATGCAGAAGGACAAGAGAAATAAGGCTAGAGATGAGACAAAAGGAAAAGGAGGGGGAAATAATGAAAATGAACAGGAACAGAAAATTCAGGGAGAAATGAAATTAATTTGGCTAGGGCTAGGAGAAATGAATGGGAATGGAGAGATAAATTGTAGGAAATGAAGAGAAATGAGTCAGAACAGAAAGCAGAAAGAGAAGTGAATTGGAAGTGACAGAGGGCCTTTAGTACTGAGTGGCAGGCAGTCCATGATATAATGAGAAGGAACAGCACAGCTGAGTCTTGTGGGCTGCTGAATGAACCTGTGCTTCTCCCCACATGTAAGAACGCAATCTCATGTTGTCAGGCTCTGCGTTCGCCACATCGCTCTACCACAGGGGTGGATTCTGAATATGGTGTCCAGTGATAAGTGCAGCCTACACAGACGTTCGGAAATTCTGCCACCTACATTTGCTTCACCCAGCCCTGCCATTCCCCAACACACTCCCAGGAGTCTCAATCCTGCGTGCTGACTGAGTGTCATGCTGGAGCTTACTGTGCAGTGAGAACTTCCATCGAGGTCACCATGTTAGTTATCCACAGTGTCAGTCCTGTGGATTGTCCACAGGGGCTGTCCTCATACATTCTGCAGGTCAATGCCATTCACCACAGCACAGAAGGAGAGTGATTGGCAAAAAGTCCCTGATCTAACCCATTCATTCTCCTCCTCATGTGCAAGCGGCCTCCTTTATGGGACTTCCCTGTGCGATGGGAAATCAAAGCACTCTGTGTGGCATTGGACTCTTCCTTTACTCATGTATTGGTTTGGGTTTTTATGCAGGCTGTATGCCCTTGCCTTTATTATCTTTGGGCAGAATCTTCATATATGCAGCAGCAGCAGCTTGTCAGGCTCCTTGCAATTAGGCTTCTTTGAAATAATGAGAACTAATATAGCAAACTGTAACAAGTAGAGTAGATAAGAATGTGTGTTTACAAATAGCAAATCCATGCTTGAAATCCCAGCACTGCCATGACGCATGGGGTGATTTTAAGAAAGCCGGTCTTTTTGAAACCCGAGTCTCTGCTCCCCACACCTGCTTTGCAGCTACCTTGAGAGACTAGACCTCCATCTCTTTAACCTGCTTTCCTATTAAGTGAAATGGAACTGAGGTGAGACTTGGGTTGGAATGTAAATGTTTTGCCTTTGTTAAGATGGACATCATATTGCAGTAGGAAATGTTGCTTCAAAGGTGTCGTTTGGGGAGCTGGGACAATCTCGGACTTCAGCTCAGTTTGTGACTTAATGGGGTACTCGTGTAGGCTGCAGGTAGGTCATTAGTTGCTTTCCAGTCATGCCATAGACTGCATTCCACTGTTTGGTATTGGATTTGATCATCTCTGGTGGCATTGCGTAGTAGCAGGAGACCTGTCAGTGCATGCTGGGTATCTTAGATGAATCAAGTGTTCCCATGAAGGCCCCTGACCTTCCAAGATCCACTGACAGGAGTGGTTTGACGAGGTGAATGAACTTGCAGAACTATTATTTTTGCATAGCCTGCCACTACTGTAGATAGAAAGTTGTCTAAGGGGGGGGGGGTATAGTTATGCATTTATTTATTAGATCTATATCCCACTTTCCCCCAATTAACTCAAAGCAGCTTACATAACTTTCCTTCTCCTGCTTTCAATCTTATTACCACAACAACATCCCATGCGGTAGGTTGGGCTGAAAGTCTGTGACTGGCCCAAAGTCACCCAGTTGACTCCATGGCTGAGGGGGACTGAAAGTCAGATCACCTGAATCCCAGTCCCATACTCTTAACAATGACACCACACTGGCTCTCAAATATCTCTGTATTCTGTATGGAAGTCACCATCATCTTGTGGGTCTTGAAAAATGGTAAACAGAGCTATTCACAGGGACAGAACAATTTAATAATATGAATGTACAGATACTTTATGGTTATTTCCAATGAGGTTTGATACAACTTGACTTAAGTTTTGAGGTGGCTGAGAAACAATGCATCTACATGGGTCCCAGGAATGAGTCACCTGATTGTTAAATTCTTGCATCTAAATCCAGTTTATAAGTGTCTTAATTATTCACAGTGGGTGTTCATTAGATGCAGGTATGGGCTCCTAAAAGAGGCGGAACAACGAGAACCTTGGAAAACAGCCAGGTTTCTCTGTTCATTTGCTTAACAAAGTGGTTTGCAAAACTATATCCTATACATAAGTCAATCTCAAGCATAACAAAATATTTTCCTTAGAAACAAATATTGTCAAAACACTAAGTATTCCACCTATCAGTGATACAAACATAACTATATATTTATATCAATAGCATTCCACATATTCTTACTTTGAAGAAACAACAGTGTGCATATTTATGCTATACTATGTAAACAATATCAAAAATCTGATGCATAAAAGATCAGTTAAAATGAGTACTAGGGGTTGCATCTTCCTACAGGAAAACCTAAAGTGCATGGGACTCATTTTGTTTTTGGTTCGGTTCAGTTCGGTTCGGTTCTGGCTTGGCTTGGCTTGGCTTGGCTTGGCTTGGCTTGGCTTGGCTTGGCTTGTTTGTTTGTTTTTAAGAGAACTAAGGGGGCTCTTGATATATCAGTAATTTCTCAAATTGTGCCTTAGAAAACCTAGGATTTCTAGAAAGTTTGTCAACAGTTCTTTAGTGAAAAGATTAAGGAATACTCCTGGAATCGACTTTGGTAGCATTTTGTTATGGGTGTATAAATTTAAATAAGGAATGAGTCAGGCTTACTTTACCATTGCAGACGTAGGGGCTCACATAAAACATTATATACTCAGAGAAGAAACTATGCCAGCAGGAGGGTCCTAATCCAACTTTCCATCTGACTTACCAGTTCCCATGGGCAGTTATTTATGCATGTATGTATCTACGTAGGGCATTCAATCAAACAAGCAACTATCTGTAGTCTAAAAGTCCAAAGACCAGATGCAGGTTTAACCACTTCTCTGCCATTTGTGAGAAAACACATATTTTAACAGTTTCTTATTGTGAATGTCTGTTTTCAGAACTTCACTGGGGGAGTTCCTGAAACTTGAGACGATGACAATGACACAGCATGTCAGCATGGCCAAAAGTTGCATCTGCAGTGAGAGGAAACTCCATATCCTTTCAGACTAGCTTGGCTGGTCAAGCAATCCTTTAACCCCAGACTGCAAATGAACAAAAACCACAACTAGGTCTCAGCTCAGGCAGATGCCTGTGAGACCATAAGTGTGGTCCATTCGTTTTGTCAACTAAGTATGTGTTCAATTACATTCTCCTGTCCCTGGAGTCCTTTGTAAAACTCAGAAAATAATGGAAGGACTCCCCAGATGGCAAGCTGTTATGAAAATGATTTCCTGTGAATAGAAAGACTGCAAGCATTGTGGAACAGGTTCATACTTATGAATAGCACAAAAAGAGCACTTAAAAAAATCCCCTCCTCTCCTGATACTTGATCTGGGGAAACAGCCACTGAAGTTTATTTGCAGTCAGCTGAGAACAGACAAAGGAAAGGATGTTTTCACACAGCACATTGGAATTCATTCTCCCAATGTGCAGTAGTTTGGATTGATTTTGCAAAGGAGGACAAAAATGTTTGGCATGTCCATCTGTAAATGTCTAAGTGTGACTCAAAAGCAGGAATTTCATGTCCTTTTTCTGAATTTTCAAAGGCATCTAGATAGCTGCTGATGGACACAAAATGAGCCACCAGATGGACATTGGTCTGATCCTGTAAAATATGTTTTTGTTTTTTAATTCTTAAACCAAATCAACTTCCAAACAGGGATGCTTCAGTAATTCAATCTTTTTCTAATTGTGTTATGAACTGAACAGTTCTGCACCTTTAATTAATGGGATTAATGGGCCGACAAAACAAAGTTATTCAGCAAAATGTTCCAGTGCAGTTTTCTGCTCAAGACAGTATCAAAACAAGCTAAAATATCTATTTTGGAATCTATCTATCTATCTAGAAAATATGTGAATATATATTCAAGTAAATATATGAATATATGCATCGAACTGCACATTTTCATGCAGAACCTGGACAGATTGCACTTATGGGTGAACATGCCACAGAGACCAAAAGTAGACTGCAAGCTGTATTCAGCAACACTAAGTGATGAAATTAATCTAAGAAAACCTTTCACTGTATATCTATATTTTATCATATTGTTTCAGAATGTTCCTAATATTCTATACATTTATACATCGTAAATCTCAAACCTATACTGGTTTTTCATTGGTTTCCTGGCCCAACTATCTCAACACAGGTATAAAAAGCAGAAAGCTACATGCCCAAGCTGAACCTCATCGGTTATATTCTGCTTTTTCAACCAATCCTGCTGCTAGGAATAATGTAGGCACTGCAAGGGCAACTTGTCACTAAATATGCATATGGTCCAACTTGTATTTACCTTGCTTCTATGACATTTGCAAAGAGACATACATTTTTAATTATCCACTCTCCATTAAATAATGTTGGTTTCTACACTAGAAAATTAATATGTACATGGAAAATGTTAGCCTGGTAGCTTTACACATGCTCTACTTGTGGGGATGTGGGGGTGGGGGAGGCTGCATTGCCCATCCCTGTTTCCAAAGAGAAGCAGCATTCCAGATCCAGACTTACCTGCAAATTTGATGTGAAACTTATTTTCAGGCTTCAGGATCTGAACATATAGAGGACAACTGGGTGCAAAATCTTTAACTGCCCAAGCTCTTAAAATGGTTTGATGATCCTAGAATAAAATAGAAGGCATCACATAAAACAGGGTGATTTTAAAAGCACAAAAGCTGCATTTTTGGAGGATTTGTCCCGTGAATTGGCTCATGCCTATTTGTTGTAATATCAAAAGCGGAATATATGGGTAAATTGTTGGGGTGGGGATACTCTCCTTCACTTGAGGAGTGTGAATTGCACTACAGCAGTGCTGAAAAGCATGAGATGCTATGTCTTTATTCTGCATTTGGAACTGCAAAAAAAAGGGGGGGGGGAACCCAGCGATGAAAAATCTGCAGCTGCTTTGGAATGTGGCATCCTTGGTGAGGATAGGATGAGTTGAGTGGTTTGCTGGTGCAGCTGAATAGAAGTGATATTCATGGTTTGCCAGGATACTGGCTTTTTCCTTAAAATGGCAACTTTCAAAAAGATGTGTGAACGAAAGTTTTTGACCCCATTTATTTGTTTACTTGTGTCAAACTGTACCTTCCTCCCAAGGAAGTATTCACAAAACTTGTCTAACCTGATATTCTACTCAAGTCCAAGTGTCTCCTTTTCAGAAGGGAAGAGGAACTAGTCTGCAGCTACACTGAAATATAAATAATCCTGCCCCAAATCAGTACATTTCCCACCTCCCACTCTGCAAGGCCACACTGTTTCCTGGTGCCTCTTTAAAAAGGTATAAAATGGAGAGACTATTTTAAAAACTTGTGTTGACGTTTTCCATTACTGGTCTGCAATTTAATGGTGCCAGGAAAGAAGGTTGCAAGCACCACACCTCAAGTCATTAGCAGTGCAGCATACCATTTTCAGTCCAACAGTGTCAGAGGTAATCTTCTAATGTTTAACTACCTATCCTGCCAATGATGGATAGGAGTAATGAACAGACATGGGTCAACTCACAGGAGAATTTTTTTAGCGACAGAGTAAGACTCCGGTGTAGGAAGGGGTGAAGTAGTCCATTTGGGGTGAGAATCCATTACATTCCCTCAGCTCAGCTCAGCTCCATGGACACCAGTCCACTTCGTCAGAGCTGTGAGTCCAAGTTACTGCTGAGCATGCCCAGTGTTCATGGGGTGAACTGAGCCACAGGAATTGAGCTACACACGGCCCCTGAACTAGTAGACTCCCTCTTCCAACAGCCTTTGTTTGTGCCCCTGCATGTAGAACAGAAAGTTGCTGGTTGTGAAACCTTGATTCTGCCAGCATTTGTAGGCTGTCTCTCAGTTTCAAAGCCCAGGCTGAACATGAGAAGAAGTCCATGATTGCTAGAGGGATGGATTCCATGGACTTTCATCCCAACCTATTCAGATGTTTGCAATTCCAGATCATGACAACATGGGCATTTTTACTGGCCCCAGACACTCCATCCTCCTTATCTGGATTTGATCCCGAAAGACCTAGGAAAAATGTGGGCCTATGGAGGAGGAGTAAGTCACAATTTGCATGATAACAATATTGATCATAGGACATTTCTGTCAACGCATCAGTCTTGGATTCCAGTTTCTGAGCTTTACACCGCATGAGCCAATGTGAGATAGTTATATATTTGGTCTTAAGCCAGCAGGAATTCTGATCATTTAAATAATGAAATCCTTCAGGCTGGTTGAATGAGGTCACTATCCACAGGCATAGTACAATTAAAAAGCAAAAGAATATCTGACCATATTTTAACAGCCTCTCAACCTTACACATTTAGTTATTCATTTAGTAATTACATACACTAAAGAATAATTTCTTATAGCTCTCATAGTCAATAACTAATCAGTTATAGGTCAAGTCACAGGTAGAAGCTACAGTTAAGAATTGCACAAAATTATTCAGAATAGCAGGTTTTCCCTCTAAAATACTTTTAGCATGAATCACAGTTGATCGAACTGGCCTTTGGGGACATTTCATAAATAGCTAACGATTCTAAACTGATTTGAGAAACTGATGAGGAAACAGACTTTCATTTAATAATAGCACATGAATATTGCATTTCAGGGAGTAATAGTTCCTCATATACTCTATCTCAGTAATTGCTGTATGTACCACATAAGTTATACCAGTATATTCTACCACATATTCACTTGCCCATGGCCACCCAGTAAATTTATGGATAAGGTGAGATTTGGACCAAAGGAGTAATTGTATCATAATGTTCCCTTTCCACTATTTTACCAGCTCTAAATAATCAATTTTATGGATGCTATTTTTGAAGCTGAAGTCACTGTAGGTATCCATGACTGTCACACAACTTCCTTACAAACAGTATCATAATAGCATGTGTACATTTGCCATATAACAGCTCGACTTCTTCTTTATCTGCAGTGATAAAATGTTTTGCATGAAAAATGCCCATAGCCCCATACAACTAATAGTTGGAACTCTAAATTAAAGAAATGCCCAGATGGGACATCTACATCAGTCCTAGTTCTTAATAGCTTTTATTCTATTATTATTCTATAATAAAAACTAATAAGAAAAACAAAACAGAACATGACCCAAGCCACCATGAGCAGGTCACCTCATGCTTTCTCTTCTTGATCAAACTCAAAACTAATCCTAGAAGCATAGTACTTTACTGAAGTGCCATCTCCAAATGTCTGGTAATAGCCAGGTGTACTTCCAATAAATGTTTGTAGGTAGATGAACAATCCCTTTGGCATGAGAAATTTTATGGAAAGGAAGAGGGGAATGTGCTTCAAACAGAGGTAGCTTCTGGGAAAAGAGTGGACTGCAAAACTCCTGTTGAAATGCTTAAGTTTCTTGTAGATTTCCTGATATGGTGCATTCATATGTGTTCTGTTGGAGGTTGCCCTTCATTCACAATCATAGAGTCATACAGCCTAGCAGGCCATCAGTTCCAACTGCCAGACTCAATGCAGGACTCAAGTCTCCCATCCAGATTTCAACCAGGCCCAACCTTGCTTAGCATGCAAGATCAGGCAGCTTAGGCACTTCATTGTATTCTCTTGTGAGTGAGAAACAATGTTTATGCTCACTTCAAATTCTCCTAAAAATGTTTTAACAGAAATGTGAGCTGCCGTGTTGACCTTTTCCACACAGAAAAAAAATCTAAAAAATAACACTGATGGTTCAGATGGGAGGCAGATACCATGCCTGTCATCCTATATAGATAACTCGATAAGTATGTTGAACGTATCACAGCAGACATGATCACTGCTTTCTTACGTTGTAACAATTAAGCCATGAATTAAACTATGATTAAAATTTGTTATGTTTTTGCAACAAGGTATGTCTAAGAAGTAAGTTTTTTAAAAATATATATGCATTTTGAGAAGATGAGTTTTTATTAAAGACCAATAAATTAATTTAAACAGCAGTTCTAAGGCTTCCGGATAGCACCTAGACAGTGATAAGGTTGTTCAGATTCCCAGGTCTGAGGCTAGAAAAACGTCCAACCTTATAGTTGGGGATCCATGCTCAGGTCCCTCTCCCCTTCTTGGAGCCGTAATGGAAAGAACCACAAGAGCTGCTTCCCTGAGTCACAAGACTAACCTTAGAGAAGAGTGCAGGGGATGTTCTCGGAGGTAGGAAGAAGGCAAAATTGGATTTCCAGTGCTCCAGCTGTCTGAACTGGCTCACATTTTGTAGGAGTGGGAGGAACATGGAGATGAGTATTGCCTCCACACTCCTCACAGCCTGTGCAGCTTGCCTCCACATTTGGAGAGTTCCAGGCATCCCAGCTGGATTGCACCATTAGTTCCCATGATTTTTCAAAAATATATTTCACATTGTTGTATAAATCTTTGCTCACTCTAATCTACTCTCAGCAAATATCAAGGGCCGGATCAATAGGACTCCGAGTATATCAAATCACACATCTTAGTATGTTAAAATGTTCAATTGTTTAAGTGCTGTTGAGATAATATTCTTCGAGAGTCATCAGTTGTTCTGATTTGGTTTTTTAAATCAGCTATGTTTTGAAATGTACAACCAAGGGTAATTTACAAGACTTAATGATGTTAGGGAAAGCAGCAGATTCTCTAATCATAAACTTACAAGTGCAAGAAAAGTGAAAAAAGACAATATAATAATTCATTTATATCTGTGGTGGCAGTAGAAGCAAAAAGGCTTCTATGGTCCAGTACACAGGAAAACATTTCAGCTGAAAAGGGTGACAGCATTATCTGTTTCATTAGAAGGATGAACTATTTTTGCTGGGAAGCAGAACAGCAAAATTGTAAGGAGCAGCTCAAGGATTCAGGGGTGTTCAAGCAAGAGGCTGTTATGAATCCCTTGACTGTTGAAGTCAGAACACCTTTCTGCCCTTCAAAAATGGTACCCCCAAATGAAAGCCTCACAGGGTTATGCTATTGTTCTTTAATGGCTAATCACTGTTTAATACAAATAAAACTTTCTACTCACAACTAAAGAAAGCAGCTGAGGGATGGAAACAAACCAGGCATGGAAATCTCCCTGAGGATTCAAAAGTTGACATCTGAAGGACACTGAATGGATCAGCATAGCCAGGGACATTCACAAAGGATATTCCAGTGCTAACCATTAATGTTCAAGCCAGGCTTTCTTGCTTACTCTGTCTGTGTGTGCACACATGTCCATGTGCATGTACATCAGGGAAACTCAAAGCATCAAATGGGCAATTTGAATGGCAATGAGCTCTTTGCATTTGCTGCTGTTGGGTTAATAAAAGAACAATTCTCAATCCAAAAATATGGAGAAAAGTAGAAGTAGAAGGACAAGGAGAGGATGCAATTGTCTTTGCTGGATAATGTTAGGGGATGCATTTTGGGGGTCCTTCTTTTTGGTAACTTGAGGCATGGGAGTCACTGCAGCATGGCCTCTTTCTGCGTCAACGAGTGCAACCCTAAGCCATATGAAAGTGCCAGGCTGCACTGTTTTCTTCCAGGGTCCAAGCGAGGGGCACTTCAGTAGGACCATGGCTCCCTGACTGGGCTGCGTACACCCCTTATCATGAAGGAAGAAAATGAAGATCATGCTTAAGGATGTTCACTCATACTTATTTCCACAAAGGTCTATAGGTGCACAGAT